ATCGGGCTCTCTGCTCAGCGGGGAGCCTGCTTCCTCCTCTCTCTCTGCCTGCCTCTCTGCCTGCTTGTGATCTCTGTCTGTCAAATAAATAAATAAAATCGTTAAAAAAAATTTAAAAAAAAAATTCCACATATGAGACCATATGATAATTGTCTTTCTCTGATCGACATAGCCCTTAGCATAATACTTGCTGGTTCCATCCACGTCATTGCAAATGGCAAGATTTCATTTTTTTTTTAATATTTTATTTATTTGAGGCGCCTGGGTGGCTCAGTCATTAAGTGTCTGCCTTTAGCTCAGGTCATGATCCCACGGTCCTGGGATCGAGCCCCGCATCGGGCTCCTTGCTTAGCAGGGAAGCCAGCTTCCCTCTCTCCCACTCCCCCTGCTTGTGTTTCCTCTCTCGCTGTGTCTATCTCTGTCAAATAAATAAATAAATCTTAAAAAAAAAGATTTTATTTACTTATGTGACAGAGAGAGATCACAAGTAGACAGACAGACAGGCAGGGTGGGGGAAGCAGGCTCCCTGCTGAGCAGAGAGCCTGATGTGGGGCTCGATCCCAGGACCCTGAGATCATGACCTGAGCTGAAGGCAGAGGCTTAACCCACTGAGCCACCCAGGTGCCCCAATATTTCAGCTTTGATGGCTGCACTATATATATATATATATATATATGCACACACACATCACATCTTTTTTATCCATTCATCTCTCAGTGGACATGTGGGCTCATTCCATAGTTTGGCTGTCGTGGGCATTGCTGCCATAAATATTGGGGTGCTGTGCCCCTTCAGATTACTACATTTATATCTTTGGGGTAAATACCCAGTAGTGCAATTGCTGGGTCGTAGGGTAGCTCTATTTTCAAAAAAATTTTTTAAAGATTCTATTTATTTGACAGAGATCACAAGTAGGCAGAGAGGCAGGCAGCAAGAGAGGGGGAAATAGGTTCCCTGCTGAGCAGAGAGCCCGATGTGGGAGTCGATCCCAGGACCCTGAGACCATGACCTGAGCCAAAGGCAGAGGCTTTAACCCACTGAGACACCTAAGCACCCCTATTTTCAGATTTTTTGAGGAACCTCCATGCTGTTTTCCAGAGTGGCTGCACCAGCTTGCATTCCCACCAACAGTGTAGGAGGTTTCCCCTTCCTGCACATCCTTGCCAACATTTGTTGTTTCCTGACTTGTTAATTTTAGCCATTCTGACTGGTGTGAGGTGGTATCTCATTGTGGTTTTGTTTTGTATTTCCCTGATGCCGAGTGATACTGAGCAGCATTTCATGTGTCTGTTGTCCACTTATACATCTTCTTTGGAGAAATGTGTGTTCTTGTCTTCTGCCCGGCTTCTGACAGATGTTGCCAAATTATCTTCTCCCCAGTGATGTGCAAGAGTGTATGTTTCCCGATATGCCCCAACACAGCGTGTTCTGCACTGTTATCTGCCCATCAGATAGGTAAAAATAGTATCTCTGTGCAGTTGTGGCTGTGTTTATCTTACTGTGAATGAGTCTGAATGTTTTTTCATTCAGAACTGTTTGTATTTCCTTTGCTGGGCAGTCACCAGACCTATGTTGGCCAGATTACTACTGGATTGTTCGTTTTTCTCTTATTGATCTGTAATGACTCTTTATATGTTAAAGAAATGAACCCTTTGTTTCAACTTGCTTGTGTTTCCCCTCAGCTTGTTCATGTCCTAGGACATCAGATTGGTCTTTGGGATAATGATAGCATTGGGAAGAATTGAGGGGCATGTGTCATCCCCCTCAACTTCCCAGAAGGAAAAAGAATGTTACTCTAAGTAACATAACTTTCAACTGTATACAGAAAAGTTGCTGGGTAAAAATCATGAAGTATCCATGTGGGTCCATTCAACAAATATATGTGGAGCACTTACTGGGTACCAGATCCTATTCTAGATGCTGGGATTATAATAATGACCAGAACCATCAAGACTGCACACTTGTGGAGCTGACATACCAGTGAGGGAGATACACTGTGAAAGGCTAAACAGAATGAGAGATACCTTGAGATAGTAATAAGTCTTAAAGAGAAGGTGAAGGGAAAATGACAAAGGATTCTCTCCCTCTCCTGCCCCTTCCACTTGTGCTCTAACTCTCTCTCTCTCTCTAAAATAAATGAATAGGAGTGCCTGGGTGGCTCAGCCGGTTAAGCATCTGCTTTCAGCTCAGGTCACAATCTCAAGGTCCTGAGATTGAGCCCCACATCGGCTTCCCTGCTCTGTGGGGAGTCTGCTTCTCCCTCTCCCTCTTTCTCTCTGTGTTTTCTCTCTCTCTCAAATAAATAAGTAAACCATTTTTAAAAAATAGAGAATAAATAAATAATAAATAAGACCTTTAAAAAAGATTCTCTCTCTCTCTCTCTATCCCCACTCCTCAGGGACTCACGCTCTCTCTCGGAAAAAAAGAAAAAAAAATCACCTCTTCAGAGATGCCCTCCTTGACCATCTAATCTAAAGCAGCCACTACCACCCCTCCTTTTGTTTTTAAAAATATTTTATTTTTTAAATTTATTTGACAGAGAGAGAGAGATACAGCAAGAGAGGGAACACAAGCAGAGGGAGTGGGAAAGGGAGAAGCAGGCTTCTCGCTGAGCAGGGAGCCCAATGTGGGGCTCGATCCCAGGACCCTGGGATCATGACCTGAGCTGAAGGCAGATGCTCAACAACTGAGCCACCCAGGCACTCCTATTCATTTATTTTAGAGAGAGAGAGAGAGTGAGAGCACAAGTGGAAGGGGCAGGAGAGGGAGAGAATCTTAAGCAGGTTCCATGCCTAGCCTGATGCAGGGCTCAATCTCATGACTCTGAGATCACCAACCTGAGATCATGACTTGAACTATAATCAAGAGTTGGACACTTGGAGTGCCTGTATGGCTCAGTTGTTGGGTGTCTGCCTTTGGCTCAGGTCCTGGGATCAAGCCCCACATCTGGTTCCCTGCTCAGTGGGAAACCTGCTTCTCCCATTCCCCATGCTTGTGTTCCCTCTCTTGCTGTGTCTCTCTGTCAAATAAAATTTTTAAAAATTAAAAAAAAAAAGAGTCAGATACTTAACTGACTGAGCCACCCAGGGGCCCCTGAAGAGGTGATTTTATGTGAAGACCTGAGTGATACGAAGGGATTAGGTAGGAGTATAACAACTAGAACTGGTTTGGCTGAGGGAACAGCATGTGCAAAGGCCCTGAGGTAGGAGTTGAGGTCAGGAAGACTAGCACGGGCTTTGGTATAAAGGACCTTAGAGACCAGGTGAGGAGTTTTGATTGTATTATTGTGGCCACAAGAAGCCACTGGAGTGTGTGTGTGTGTGTGTGTGTGTGTGTTTTACTTTTTCTTTTGGAAATGTTCAAAGCTAAAAGTGGAGAGTATGATATGAGGAACCATACATGCCTTCACCCAGTTCAACAGATTCCAACTTTTTGCCAATCCTATTTCATCTATATCCCTCATTTTTTGGTAGAGAGGCTAGATTTTTTTTTTCCCTCTCCCTCTGTCCCTGCCTCATTTCCCTTAAAAAAAAAAAAAAAAAAAAAAAAAACAACTTTCAGGGCACCTGGGTGGCTCATTCGTTAAGCATCTGTCTTTGGTTCAGGTCCCAGGGTTCTGGGATTGAGCCCCACATCATCAGGCTCCCTGCTCAGCAGGAAGCCCACTTCTCCCTCTCCAACTCCCCCTGTTTATGTTCCTTCCCTTGCTGTCTCTCTCTGTCAAATAAATAAATAAATTCTTTTTTTTTAATCTTTTCATTGAAGTTGTAACAAATACTGAAAAGTGCACCAATCATAATATACAGACCAACGACCCTTGCAAACTGAGCATACCCATGTAACTGGCAGCCAGATCAAGAAGTGAATATGGCCAGCTCCCCAGGCGCCCCTGTGATGCCTTCTTGCCTCTCCCTCCCCACATGTGAATGGAACCAGATAGGACGCTCTCTACTGTGTCTAGCTCCTTCTTTGTATCATGTCCGGGATGTGTATTTTGCTGTGCGTTATTATAGGTTGTAGACTGCCCCTTCTCGTTGCTGTAGTAGTCCACTGAATCAGTTTACTCACCCATTTTGATGCTTTCGATACTTGGGCTATCTTTGGGTTTGGGCTATTACAAATGGTTCTGCCGTGAACATTCGGGTATGTGTCTTTTGGTGAACACAAAAACGCATTTACAGTGGCTTACCCCCAGGCGTGGAACTGCTGGGTCGTGAGGCAGGCGTACATTCAGCTTTAGTAAATAGCGCTTCTACTTGTTTTCTAGAGCTGCTGGAACAACCAGCCGCCAGTGGCTGTCTCGAACAACAGAAATATCTTCTTTCACAGTTCTGGAGGCTCTAAGTCCAAAGCCAGTGTCTTGGCAGGGTTGGGTATCTTCTCTCTGCTTTCTCTTCACAGTGCCTCCCCTCTGTACATATCTGTCTCTGTGTCCAAATTCCCCCTTACTAAATGGACACCCATCATATTGGATTAGGACCCTGTCTCCAAATAAGGTCACCCTCTGGGGTTCCGGTGGGGGTGGTGAGGATTCCTACATATTTTTTGAGGGGCGGACACAATTCAAACCATAACAGTGCCAAAGAGTTTTCCAAAGTGGTTGAACCAATTTACTGTGCTGGAGTATTTTAAAGCTAATTCCACACTTGGTATCGTTTGCCTCGAGTGTTTTAAGAGAAAGGAAGACTTGGTCTGATTTACATTTTTAAAGGATACTATTTGTTCTGCGGGAATGTAAGACAAGGCAAATATTTCTTTAAGAAAGAGCAGGTGAATCAAGAGCGAGCCCTTCTGGGATGGCCCAGATAGGATGCTCTGGTAGCCCCGGGTTGGGAGAAGCCTCCTGGGGGCGCTTAGCTCCGGGACACTATGCGACACCATTCAGAGCCAGTGCTCTGTTCCTCCCTGCCCACCCTGTGGAGTCTCTCAGGGCTCAAGCAACGCAGAGGGAGCTGGGCCAGGACTCAGGCTGTCTTTCTGTCCATCCCCCTCCCTGCCAGGACATACAGCAGCTCCTCCAGCTTCAGCAGCTGGTGCTTGTCCCCGGCCACCACCTCCAGCCACCTGCTCAGTTCCTGCTGCCACAGGCCCAGCAGAGTCAGCCAGGTAAGGCCCCACCCCGAAGGCCTCCCATCCCCAGGATGCTTCCACAAAACTCTCCCTCCCCCCTCACCCCGTGCAATCCCCTTGTCTCCCCAGGCCTGCTACCGACGCCAAATCTCTTCCAGCTACCTCAGCAAACCCAGGGAGCTCTTCTGACCTCCCAGCCCCGGGCCGGGCTGCCCACACAGGTGAGAATGTCCACCGAGTGTGCCAGGCTGGGTGAATGGGGGTGGGAGGGTGAGGGTCTCCTCTCCCTTCGACCCTTCTCATGACCACAGAAGCCAGGACAGGAGTCAGAAGACCTGGGGACCAGCCCTGCTCTACCACTGATTTGCTGTGGGACCTTAGGCCGTGCTCCGTGTCTGGGTCAGCTTCTTCCTCTATAGAAGGAGGGGAATCAGCCATGCCAGCAGCTCTTAACCCTTTCAGACACATGGACTCCTTTGAGAATCTGATGAAAGATTTTGATCTGACCCCCCGCTACCCCAAAATGCACACATGCATAAGCACACAAAAAAAAAACTCTATAGATTGTGGCCTGGCCTTTCTTTCAGTGTGCTAACTGGGTCCTAGGCTTTAATAATAATCTTTCATGACTCTTTATGGATTTTAGTGTTCCCTTCTAGCCACTTTTTTTTTTTAAATATGAACTTTCAAAAAATATGAACTATTTCAGAAAACCCCAAAAGTTTAGAGATAATACAGGGCTGGGCTGAATTCTGAAACCCAAAATGCTTGGAAAACCAAGCATTTTGTAATGTGAGACCAGAAGTCATCTGGCTGCAAAACCCATCTTGACCTAGGGCAGGGAGTCTGACTTCCCTTTCTCCCTCCTGTGTGATATGTGTGCTTTGCTAAGAGCTGTTAATGTGTTCGGTGCTGGGGCAATGCCTTGACCCTGATGGGGGGGGGTGTCACATTATTTATATGTGCCCCGTGTAGGCTTTCTAAAATCTGTAAAATTTCTGGGTTCCAAAACACATCTGGCTCCAGAGTTTGGATAATGGATGGAGGGCTTGTATGACCAACATGGTTGCACTTAAGGCCTGTTTCAGATATTTTTAGGGAAATGAAGCAATCCAGAGAGAGTTGTTGCTTTTTTGTAAATCCCCCAGTCACCCTCCCCATCTACTTTTTAAAATACTTTCACTTTATTTGCAACTTTTAAGGGGGTTCTCCCATCCCTCAACCCCATGGGGTCGGCAGAGCCGTCATGATTGTTTCCATTCTGCAGAGGCCCAGGGAGATTAAGAAACTTGCCCGAGTTACCTGGCAATTCGGTAACAGAGCCAGTCGTTGATTCCCCGCCTGAGAGAAGGATAAAACCATGGCCCCCAGCTCCAGGGAAAAAGCAGTTGGTTGAAAGGAGCTGGCTACTCCTTCAGGGAATTTGCATGCTGGGAGGGAATGTGCTGAGAGCGTTGGGGCAGTGAGAGGTCCCTACGTAGCAGCAGAGTGTCTCCTCGGTGGGGATTCACAGTGAGTGCGCACCAGCCTCCCGGGGACCAGTAGAAGAGAGCCTGCAGGAAGAGGTGGGACGGCAGGGAGGGAAGGAGGGAGGGGAAACTGTGCAGCCATCGCTGAGCCCCATCCTGGTCCTCGGTCCTGCACCCCACCCACCCCTGCCCACCCTACCAGGCCGTGACCCGCCCCACGCTGCCCGACCCGCACCTCTCGCACCCGCAGCCCCCCAAATGCTTGGAGCCACCATCTCACCCCGAGGAGCCCAGTGACCTGGAGGAGCTGGAGCAGTTCGCCCGCACCTTCAAGCAACGCCGCATCAAGCTGGGCTTCACACAGGTCTGGGGCCACCGGGCAGCGGGTGGGCGGGGGGCGGTGGGGGGGGGAGGTGGGCGTGAGTCTGAAGCGGCCTGGCGAGGTGGTGGGCGGGAGGCTGGCTTGCTCTGCTGGAGCCTTGGGCAGTAGGCGTGGTCAGGTCTTAGGGAGGGGCGATGCCGTAGCAGGCTGGTGGGCGGGGCAGGGGTGTGGCCAGCCTGTGCCGCGGGTGAGCCCTAACCCGCAGGCGGGTGGGTCCCTGACCACGGCCCGGTTCCCTCTCACTCCGCCAGGGTGACGTGGGCCTGGCCATGGGCAAGCTCTACGGCAACGACTTTAGCCAGACGACCATCTCCCGTTTCGAGGCCCTCAACCTGAGCTTCAAGAACATGTGCAAACTCAAGCCCCTTCTGGAGAAGTGGCTCAACGATGCAGGTGGGACTGGGTTGGGGCTCCCAGGGCGCACGGTGGGTGCTGGGCCCAGGAGGCGCCCTCTCATGCCCCCGTTTCCGCCCGGGCACAGAGACTATGTCTGTGGACTCAAGCCTGCCCAGCCCCAACCAGCTGAGCAGCCCCAGCCTGGGCTTCGACGGGCTCCCCGGCCGGAGACGCAAGAAGAGGACCAGCATCGAGACAAACGTCCGCTTCGCCTTAGAGAAGAGTTTTCTAGCGGTGAGGCCTTCTGTGCGGTCCTGAGGGTTGGGGTGGGGGGTCGGGGTGGACCTGGGGTTCACCAGCCCTCTGCCCGCAGAACCAGAAGCCTACCTCAGAGGAGATCCTGCTGATCGCAGAGCAGCTGCACATGGAGAAGGAAGTGATCCGTGTCTGGTTCTGCAACCGGCGCCAGAAGGAAAAACGCATCAACCCCTGCAGTGCAGCCCCCATGTTGCCCAGCCCAGGGAAACCGGCCAGCTACAGCCCCCATCTGGTACAAGGAGCCCCCCTGGGGGTGGGGGGCATAGAGCTCTGGCAACACCCTGCCCCTGGGCAGGTGCCTCTGTGAAGCACAGTCTACCTGCTTGTTCTCAGTGCCTGGCACAGGGGCAGGGAGACTGATTTTTAGGGACAGACTGTCACATGGGTAGAGCACAGTCACCCAGGGACAGTTTTCAGGAAACTGTGGTCTTATGTGGGGCATACAAGCATCCACAGACACACACCATCAGAGCCAAAAAACAGAGCCCAGTTCTCACAGGGCATGGCCACACGGGGAGGGATCCCAGGTTAAGGGATGGAGGTACCCCTCCCTTCACACACAGGTTCACAGCCACACACACCGACACAGGCAGGGAGAGCATTTTGTCCCTGGGTGTACATTCAGGCTCACAGCTGCACACAGACCCACTCAGGATCAGACACACTGGGACACCTTTTTATTGCATCTTATGTGGAAAGGGGCTGTGACGTGACAGAGAGGAGCCCCCCGCCCCCTTGGTATGGAGGAAGAAGAGACCACCTGAGCTGAGTTCTAAAGGACGAGGGGGCGGCTGCCAGCCACTTGAAGACTGCTGTGCACAAAGGCCTAGAAGCCAGAGTGTGCTGACCCCAACTGGAGGAACTCCAGCACAATTTAATGTGGTTGGAGCAGGAATGTATATGAATGAGTGTGAGGGTAGGGGCTGGGCAGGGGCCAGACTCTCAAGTAACATGCTGAGGAGCTTGAATGTGAACCACGGGCAGTGAGGGGCTAAGGTGGACTTTTGAGCTGGGAAGGGACAGGGTCACATTAAGAATGAGGCTATTGGAGATGATAAAAGGACAAGACTGGAGGCAGGGAGGCCAAGAAGGAGGCTGGTGGGTGGTCCCAGAAAATCAAGCAGTAGGATACCCCAACACTCTGATGCAGAGACACCCCTTATGATCATAACAGTCGCCCCCCCCCCACACACACGCTTTAGACTTGCAGCTGGATGGTGTCAGAGGAAACATGGGGGAACACTCTTAACTGGGAATGATTTCTTCCTGCCTGTGGCTCAGGATCACGTTGGGTAAATGTTAAGTTAGATACGATGGAAAGAACCTAGCATAATATAAGCATAGCATTGTGCCCAAAGCCCCTTCTCCCCTCAGCCTGAGGGCAGATGAATGGGGGTCTTCCCCACAGGGAGCATCATGGGGGCTGCTGGGAAACAGTGGCCTCACCATGCCTTCTTTCGTCTCTCCCCAGGTCACACCCCAGGGGGGGCGCCGGGACCTTGCCATTGTCCCAAGCTTCCAGCAGTCTGAGCACAACAGGTCAGGGCAGGCAAGAGGCCCCCCGTGAGGGGCATTGGGAAGACCCAGTGCAGGCCCGGGGTTCTCTAGTGGCTCTGGGTGTCTGTGGGCCTCAAGGTTGAGCCTGGGGACGAGGGAGGCAGGGGGCACGGAGGGGAGAGGGCACCTTCACCCCTCCCTGCCAGAGCAGCTCGGCTCTCCTCTGCTCTGCGATTTCCTATGAGAAAAGCATGGGCTTTGCTAAAAGTTGATGTCCTCAGGTCTGTTCCTGCCTTTTATAAACTGTGTGAGCTCCAGAAGTGACTTTACCTCTCTGAGCCTCAGGTTTTATAAAATTATTGTGAATGTATACTACATACAGAAGCTATATACATGAATATGTACATACAAGAGTGTATGTCTGCATACAGACACACACACACACACACACAGACACACACATACTCTTTTGTACCCAAAGCCCTCCTTGCTCCCTTCCTGGGACGGGGCTTGTGTATATGAGAATAATATATATAAGGATTTATAAGAATATATATATAAGAATAATAAAACTGGAGCCTGGCTGGCTCAGTCCGTGGAGTATGCAGCTCCAGATCTTAAGAGTTGTGAGTTCGAGCACTACACTGAGCGTGAAGTTTACTTAAATAAACTAAAAAAAAAGAAAAAAAAATCATCCTCACACCCATTTTATGAAGTCGGTCCTGTTATTAACCGCATTTTCCAAGTTAGGGAACTGAAGGCCAGAGAGGTGAAGGCATTGTCCCAAGGGTACAGATGGGACGGACAGCTCGTAAATTGCCGCCCTTGGCTGTCTGGCAATGTGGCCCGAGCGGGCTCGGTCCACCTTGGGGCGCACAGCTGCAACCCCCGGCCTGGCCCCTAGAGGGAGCCCCAGGGCGTAGTCCTCGGGGCTCCCGACACCGAGGCTCTGGGGGGTGGGTTCGCGCTGGGTGAGCGCTCCCGGGCACAGGGCTCGCCTCGGTGGGTGACGGCTGCTCACACTGCGATTATTGTGATCGCTGTCACCGCGGCTGTGGGAAGAGCGGGCGGGAGGCCTAAATCTGTTCCGGGGGGCGGGGGCATGCTGCAGGGCGCGCGCTAGGCGGCAAGGCGAGCAGGGGTGGACCCCGGGTTCCCCGGTGGACGACGAGTGGAAGCTGAAGTCTTCGTCTCTCTGTCTCTCTCTGGCAGTTACTACCTTATCCTCAGCTGTGGGGACGCTCCACCCCAGCCGGACAGCCGGAGGGGGTGGGGGCGGGGGCGGGGCCGCGCCCCCCCCTCAATTCCATCCCCTCTGTCACTCCCCCACCCCCGGCCACCACCAACAGCACAAATCCCAGCCCTCAAGGCAGCCACTCGGCTATCGGCTTGTCGGGCCTGAACCCCAGCACGGGGTAAGTGGACAGCTGCAGTTTGGGAGGCTGTGGGGAGAGAAGCAGGGTGGCTGCTGCTTCCCGGGGTGGGAGCTGCGTCCCAGTTCTGCCGCCGGTGGGTGTCTGCCCCTGCTAACGCCTCTGCTTTGCCTCTTGCAGAAGCACAATGGTGGGGTTGAGCTCCGGGCTGAGTCCAGCCCTCATGAGCAACAACCCTTTGGCCACTATCCAAGGTGCGTTCTGCCTCATGTCACTCCCATCGCCACCAGCCTGGCCCCCTGGGGCCTCGAGCCTCCCCCCATTGCTGCTCCAGCCATACCATCCTGTCCCCGCTCACTGCATCGCTCGCCTCTTCATACCCATCTCACCTTTGGGGAAGGTGTGAGGGGTGCTGATGGGGGTCAGTGGGGCAGATGGGAAGACAGGGGGCACCGTGGGAAGGATGCTGGAAGGCGCCCCAGCCCAGCCTCTCTCTCTCCCCACCAGCCCTGGCCTCTGGTGGAACCCTGCCCCTTACCAGCCTTGACGGCAGCGGGAACCTGGTGCTGGGGGCGGCTGGCGCGGCCCCGGGGAGCCCCGGCCTGGTGACCTCGCCGCTCTTCTTGAACCACGCTGGGCTGCCCCTGCTCAGCGCCCCGCCTGGCGTGGGCCTGGTCTCTGCAGCCGCTGCGGCCGTCGCAGCCTCCATCTCCAGCAAGTCTCCGGGCCTCTCCTCATCCTCGTCCTCGTCCTCGTCCTCGTCCTCCACTTGCAGCGAGGCGGCAGCACAGACCCCTGGAGGCCCTGGGGGGGCCCGAGGCAGGGTCCAAGCCCGAGTGAGGGCCCACCTTGCCTCCCCTCCTACTCCTCTGATCCCCACCTCAGTCCTCCCGCCTGGGAAGAGGGCGAGGAGGTCCGCGGTGGTGGCGCAGAGAGTCCTTGGAGCTGGAGTGACAAGGGAGGAAAGACCAAAAAAACAAAAAACAAAAAACAAAAAACAAAAAAACCAACTAACCAAAAAAAAACAAAACAAAACAAAACAAAACAAAAGGAAGAAAGAAGGGAAGAAAGAAAATGAAAGAAACCAACCAACAAAAGAAACCAAAAACAATCGCAACAGAAACCAGCTGCCCCAAAGGAACCAGAGGTGAAAAACAAACCAAAACCAAAAACAAAAAAAATCCCCCACAAAACCAAACCAAAAACCAGTTGCGAGCCAGACCTCAGTGTGCTCACCCTCACCGCTACAACACCAAATAAGAGCCCCAGCCAGGGGCAGAGAAGCCTCGGCAGGGCGGACCTCTCGCCGAGCCCCTGGCTGGGGGGCCAACCCCCAACCTTGCCTCCCTCGGTGGGGGCCAGAGAAGGCAAAAGAGAATGTGCCAGCCTCCAGCCCCAGCCCCCAGCCCTGGGCCAGCGAAGACAGGGCACAGCCTGGGGCCAACGGGTTGGGCTCAGAACCACCCGCCAAATGTTCTTTTCCAGAAGGTGAAAGAGAAGGGGCCTGAACAACCTTACACCAAATATTCAGTAGCTTCATCCAAAGGATGTACAGAATTTTTAGCGTTGCGCTCAACAGAATGTGTCCCTACCATGTGTCCCCCTCTCCCTTGGCCCCCAGCTCTCCCCCGCTGGGCAGGGCGTCTTGCTTTAACCTCCTCCCTCCCCTAGCCAGGGGAGAGCGCAGGGGCAGGCCTGGGATGACTTCACCCCTCGTACCTCCCCCTTTTCCCTTTGAAGGGTGGGCTAGGCTGTTTTGCGAAGTTCTAGCTCTCACATGTGCCCCCCTCAACCCCATCACTGTCCTCTGCTCTGGAATCCACCCACTGCCCTGGCCCAGGGGAAGGTGGACGTTTCGGGCAAGAGGGATGAGGTGAGGGCATTTGAGTTGTCTCTTTTCCCATCCTCGTCTGTCAGTTTCCCTGAAAAAAAAAAAAAAAAATTCATATTCCAGTGCCTATCCGTGGGATCCTTCACGTTCTTTGACATTGACCAGAAACCAAAAAGAGAACTCACCTCGCTCTTCCCACCCTGTGCCCCTCTGATACTGGCAGATGCCTCTCCCCCCCCCACCCCACACATGTATACACGCACGCACCCCAGTGGTGGGGTTCCTCAAGGTGGCATCCCCATCAGGGTCCATGTGGCGGGGACAGTGCCATGACCTGTGGTCCCCATCCGAGAGGGCGCTGTGGTGGCCACCACTCCCACGAGACCTCCCTCAAGTCTTGGCTGGACCCCATGTTTACCCAGCCCCGGACCCGTCTCAACGGACAGAGGAGAGACGCCGCTGGGAGCCACTTTGCCCTCCTGCTATGTGGAGGCCAACAAAGTTTTGAACCAAAAACAAAACACAAAAAACAAAAAAACCAAACAAACAATAAATTAAAACTAGAAAAAAAAAGAATTTATAGATATATATATATTTAAGGGAAAGAAGACGAGGACTTTTCAAGAATAAGAAGGAGCCGCGAGGTGGAGCCAAGCCCCTGCGCCAGTGGTCCAGGCCCTTGGTCCCCAAGGCGGATGGAAGGACAGACGCTTCTTTCTCTTCACAAATACCTCATGGACGTCGTCTTCGGGAAAGCCGGAGGGGGAGGCTGGGGCTGGGCCTGTCCCTCAGCCAGGGCAGATGGAAGCTGGCGGGCAGGGCTGGGAGGGGGGGGGGTCAGGGACGGGGTGAAGAGCCCCAAGCTCCCTGCCCCCCAATCCATTGAAAAAGCTTTAAAAAACAAAACAAAACAAAAAGAACGAAACAAGGAATAAGCAAGCAAAAAGAATGGACAAAGGAAAACGAACAAACTTTCGGGTGGTTTGATTCCTCCTCTGACTTCTTTTTCTGTTCTCTTCAGTCCGTTCTCTCTCTGCTTCTCTCTCCCTCTCATCCTTCACTCTTCTCTCGCCCCTCTCAGTCTCCCGTCTTTCTGTGTCTCTCCTCAAACCAAAGTGTTGCTGTGAAGGACGCGAGCCATTGAAATCAGAGGCCTGGACCCCGCTGGGCGGAGCAGCGGGGAGCCCAGAGCCCCGAGCCCCAGCGGTGCCACTGGACACTCCAAGGAGAGGCGGCTGCCACCCTGGGCCCCCCCGAGGCCTCAGCGTTCTTTCTTTCTTGTCTCCTTTCTCCCACCCGGGAAATGAAACTGTTGGGCTGGGCCACGGAGACAGCAGAGACTCGGCTGTTTTGGGGGTCTCGGGGTGCCTTGTCTAGGCAGCAGTGGAGCGGCTGCCCCTCCCGCCCTGGCACCGATGGGGCCTGGCGTGCTGTCGACCCATCCTTGCCGGAATGTAAGCATCTCCGCTGAACCGACTCCCTGCCCTTACCCTACCTCTGAGTTTGTCCATGTTTATTTCCTGAAGAGAAGGGACTGGCGAGAGGGCCTGGGCCCCAGCCCAAGGGTGGAGAGGGGGCCAAGGGCTCCTGAACAGATAGGAAGGACGTTTGAGCAGAGCAAAATGAAAGGAATTACGACCAAATACCCCTCCGAGAAGACAGGCAGCATGGAAGGCATGGTGGAGATGACTCAAAAACTATGATTCTAGACCAAAAAAAAACAAAAAACAAAAAACAAAAAAAAACAAAAAACAACAAAAAAAAACAAAAACCAAAAAAACAAACAAACAAAAAAACCACCAAAAAACCCCACAAAAAAAAAAACAACAAAAAGAAAAAAACAAAAAAAAAAAGGAAAAAAGAAGAAAAAAAGGAAAGAAAATCCAGGACTCACCACCACCCACTTCATCCTGCTTCCTCCCCATCAAGTTGGGCCACCCAGGACCTCTCCCACACGCCGCACCCCCTGGTGTGGGGGGAGTGGGGCAGAGAGGAGAGGAGGAAGCAGGGGCAGGGATGGGGCCAATGCCCTGACATTGGTGGAGGGACCCCCGTCCAGCCGGGGGTGGGGAGGGACCCTCCCCATCCAACCCCCATAACTGGGAAAAGAAAAACAAGAAAAAAAAAGAAAATTCCTGGGAGGGGAAAAATAACCAAATCCCAAGCTTTAACTACAGCTGTGAAACCAAATATTGGGAAGGGGGTGGGAGGGAGGGAGGGGCATGTGTGCCCCAGGTCTCCCCCCTGGGCCCCCCTCCCCCGAGGACTCGAGATAAGGCACCAAATACCTCATAGAACTTTAATGTTAAAAAAAGGAAACCAAATATCGTTGGCTGGGGGCCAGCCAGGGCAAGGGGCTGGGGGGCTGGAGGGAGCCAGGGTTGGGAAGGTGATGGGGGAATTCATGCCCCCACCCCGCTCTGCCCCTTCCACTCCAGTACCCCCTGTCTCGACTCCGGGAAACAAAACTATCTCATCGTTTTTATTTTGTGGTCTGTACAGAGCCTGTGTCCGTGTGTCTGTGTGTGAGCGAGAGAGTTGGGGGGCTGGGGGACTTTATGTGGGAGATGGGGAGGGAGACCCCAAGCTAGGCTCTGGGCTAGGTGAGATGTCTGAGGTGGGGGGGCGAGCAGCCTGGGCTAGAAAGAGAGGAAGATGAGTGGATTGGAGGAAGGGGGAGCCTTCTGAAATTCTCTTCTCCCCAACCCTGACCTCCTACTTGAGGGAGGGACAGAGAATGGGTCTACCCTAATGGTGGGCCTTTTGTGCCAAAAAAAAAAAAATGCCAGTAACTGAAACATCTCTCTGTTCTTTTTGGGGGGGGGGGGGGGTGGAATTGGGGGGGGGGGGGGGGGGGGTATAAGTAGGGTTGGGTGGAGATGGGGAACCCAAGCCCTATAAGAGTTGGGGCTATGATCAGGAGGGGAGGGAAGGATATGAGTCTTTTTCTGTCCCCTCCCCCCCCAGCACATCTCCTCCCTGGGGAAGCCCAAGAGAGGGTCTCCAAGCCCTGCACCCTGGGCAGACAGGCTAAGGGATTAGCCTCTTAGGTGATGACCTAATTTCCTTGCCCACCCAAATCCCAGGGTGCCTCTCTCTCCCTTTAGCCCAGGGTAGAGGGAACTGAGTGAGAGAGAGAGTGAGACCGACTGAGCAAGACTGAGACACGCGGGCCCCCACTGGCCTCCAAGTGGGAAAGGCAAGTGAGAGAGATAAAGGCCTCCAAGAGAAAAAAAAAAAAAAACAAACCAAAGATTTAACCATTTAAAAAAAAAAAACCCACAGACAACTCCGCTACCTTTTTATACGTTGGAAAAAAAGTGAAAAAAATTAAAAAAGAAAAATTAAAAAAAATACACAAAAACTCCAAGCCGCAGTTCATTAGTGCGGTTTGAACTTTGACCTCAGCAGTCTCCAAAGCAAGATGACGATGACAAAGGTGAAAAAGAAGAAAAAAATAATGTATATTTTTAAGTATTTGTCCTTGAAATGTTAGCTCCTTGTTAAACAAACACAAAAAGGAGAGAAAAATCTAGAGAGAAGTGTTGCTGGGACGGAGACAACTATTTACTATGTCTGTGACCCCTCCCTTCTGCCTCCCTTTCCTCTCCTCTATCCCTGCTGCCCCTCCCCCAGCCTGTCCTCCAAGTCCAGGGGCTCAGTATTTATTTATTTACATATCTGCAGGGTGACTGGGGCTTCTCTGCACTTGTAGAGAGGGCCTTTGGATCCTGGTGGGGTGGGAAAGGGGCAAGGAGTCTTTGGGGGAAAAGCAGGGGCCTGATCTTGGATTAACTCCTCTCTGCTAGCTCCTTTCTGGCTTCCCGTCCCACTG